AATTCTTGAGAAACTTATTAAAAAAAAGAATGTGTTTGTATCTGAAACAATTTAAACTCCTTTCCGAAAATCAATATGGATTCGTGGAGTCAAATCCGCAAAGTGATGCTATTATAAAACTATCAGAATTGGCTTCTGGAGGCACTTGATGCATCCGAGGTTTCTTTTGTGTGTTTTTGTAGATTTAGCAAAGCGTTCGATACAGTTCACCATGAAATCCTGTTATACACACTTAGTAATATGGGTTTTAGAGGAAGGACCAAACGCATCTATTTAGAAGCTATCTAAATAACCGACAGCAAAGCGTGTCCATCCAGGGTGTTAAAAGCGAGAAAAGGGTGGTCAACTATGGTGTACCTCAGGGCACTGTACTGGGCCCTGTACTTTTTTGTATATACATTAATGAGTTACTAAACTTGAAACTCGATGCACACATTTTGAGTTATGCTGATGATACAGCAATTTTCTTCAGATCAACGTGTTGGAATCAATTGAAAGCAAAAGTAGAAAAATCAATGGAAATAGTGTGCAATTTCTTTAATAATAATCTTCTTACTGTTAACTTTAAGAAAACTTTCTTCTTACCTTTTGCCTGCTATTCAGATACTCTTCCAAAATTCAATTTAGATATAACTTATAACAATAAGCTAGTGACAATAAGCTCAACAAACAAATTTAAGTATCTTGGAGTCATCTTTGATAACCACATGAAATGGAATTATCATATTCAGTTTGTGACTAAAAAGTTAAGATCACTTATTGTAATATTTAAGTTTTTAAAAAGTGTAATTCCTATAGAATTACTAAGAAATGTGTATTTTGCTTTAGCTCAGAGCCATTTACAATACGGTATTGTGGCCTGGGGCTCAGCAAGCAAAAATCAATTATCAAGTGTAAATATAGTTCAGAAATGGTTGCTGAAAATAATATACGATAAAAACTATAGATATCCCTCTGATGCCTTATACATAGAAGCAGCCATTTTTGACGCTAAACAATTATTTTGGTTTAATACATTATCTATAACATTCAGTAACAGAAGTAAAAATAATCTAATCCCACATTCATACCCACTACGTCGACTCGAATTAACTATTAATGTACCTCGGATGCATAAAACTATCGGACAAAAAAGTCATTTATATGTAGGACCTAAAATTTTTAATGTTTTACCTAAAGAAGTTGTTAATTGTCAAAACATTAATATTTTTAAAAAAAGATTAAAAGAATGGATACTTGGTAAAACAATAACCGAAATGCATACATTTATACTCAGCAAAATGTGAAATATTAAAAACCATTCACAATAAATATAATATTTGAAAATAATGTAATCTTATGTGCCTTAGAACTTACCAATCTACCCTATGTCAATATCTGACCGCTGTGTAATAACTTGTTTTTAGCGTGCTTAAGTGTTGGACAATGAAATATATTAATTTGATCCCTGTCCCTGTTTTGGTTTTGGAAGCATCAGTATACCACGTTATGGTATGGTCTTTTACGTTCTGAGCAAACGTTTCTCTCATCCCATCATTTTTATTGCTCAATACTACAGTGAGGTGTTTCTCAAAGTTGTACATTCTTGGTATGTCATCCACTGGGAGTTGAGGGAGTTAACATTCCTAATAAACTAATTTTTCTAAATTAGTTTATGAGAAATATTAACTAATTGGTATTGGGTAATTTTTAAAACATGTTCCATTGTTTTATTATCATTTAAAGCAAACTGGATCATAAATATTGATCACATTTAATATATGTGTATTTAGTATAAAATTATTTTATAAAGAGAATGAAATTATTCTCCAATCATCTCCAAATTTCAATTTGAAAAAACTCATAATTAAATACAAAAAAATTCTTATTAAAGAATAAGAAAATATTGTTAACTTTGTCAATAGCATAGCAGCTGCCTAATTATGCTAATTATAAGTTCAATATTATTAATTTTAGAATTATTCACCCAAAAATACAACTTCTTCCTTACCGGGAAGAACCAAATACCCCTTTAATTAAAATGTTAATTAACGATATTAACGAAATCTATTCTTTAAAATTTTCGAGGAGAGTTTAATTAAATTTCGTTTCAGATCTTTCACGCATTTTTTTATTAATTAAGTTATCTTGTCAATATTCGCTTTTTTCTTGACTTTAAATTTTTGGTTTTGTCAGAATTTTTCTTTTGTGTGTTGTGCTCCTAGGGTATTCAGCGGAAGTTAAATAAGCAGTTTAACTTATTCTACTACACTTATTTTTTTTTATTTAAAAAGGTATCAATTTCACTCAATTCATTATTTATTTATTTATTTATTTATTTAAAAAAAGTTTTACTCGTTTATTGCAATTACTCGCTGACGAGTATTTGACACGCATCAGAAGATAGTTACGCAAGTCAGATCGGTAGTAGGTCACTAGCTTTATTTCTTTTCACCCCTCTATAGATAAAATATTCGCAGCAGTAAAATAACCAAATAGTAGAATAGGTGTTTCACACCAGTACAATATTACTAGTGGTGTCTCATCCCATTTCAAATCCTTACCTAATTTTAATAAAATAGTATATCTAATAAATCAAGTTAGGATGCAAATATCTTGCTGTAGCAAAACCCGTAATATGCATCATACTTCAACAAAATCCGCCTTTTCCGAATTATTTTCGTGTTTTTTCTCTTTAAAAATTAAATATTAATTTTTGGTTCTGGAAAAACCAGGTAGTTCCTACAAAACAATGATTCACTCAATGGATGCTTTTTTTGTAAAATAACACTTTAAACATTCGCTAAAAGTTTTTGCATATTATCTCGAAACGAGGTTTTTGGGATAATACGGGTTTTTGCAACTTAACGCCTTATTTGAAATCTGCTGGTTTTTCCGAAGTATCAAATTCTGTAAATTTTAACGGTATCTTGTAAACGTAAAACTGAAAACGCGATATTTTTGCCAAAAATTATTCTTAGTAAATTAAAATGCATTGCTGAATTGCTATTTGCTTTATTGAGCACACATGCACTTGCACGACTAACAATCAATATCGGTTTTTAAAAATGTTGTTTTATTTTTTTAATGATTTAGTATTTATTAATTTTGACAAAACTCATTTATTTAAACGCTTTGTAAAATCCTCATACCTTTTTTTACTACTAGATATTAATATTAATTATATATTTTTGGTATATGATCAAATGATCATATTGCTGTGAACAGTAGCTTGAACAAAAACTGTAGTTACTTCAGTTTACCTATGCCTAATTTTTCAAATAATTTTGGTTCTTTGTCATAGAATTTGTTACTGCAGTTTCTGTTATAATAGCCATGCATATAGTATTAGGCTTTCAAGACTAAAAACCAATTAAGTATGTTTGCATGTCAATTAGCGTTAGTAGAAATACTGATTATATTGTAGTACACTCAGATGCAAAAAAATGCAACAGAAATGTTTTTCGTCAAATTTAAAGTATACCTATATTTTTTATTCTTAGCCTTATTTTAATGATTTTTTAGCAAATTGTATATAAATATATCTAATTTAATTTATAAACTCAGTTTTTTTGTAAACATTAGTATGTAGCTTATACAGGGTTAATCGAAGAGTTGTTTTTTACCTTAAATGTAAAATAGCCTGTGCAATAATTTCGTGAGTAACTTTTCTTAAAACAGTAAATTTCGGATAACCACGTCTCCGTGCATTTTGTTTTTTGGCTCATGTCAACACATGTCTTGGTTAGCTTTTAAGAGCAAAATGGCTTGCCATAACCAATTTGTAATTTTGTCAATTATTATTACATATTTGTGTTATTTTTAATATGACGAGGTGTATTAGGTGACTAGTATTGTCGTAATGTCATATTGACAATTACACTTTGTATACCTACGATTTGCCTACGATTGAATATTGCCCTTAGTGTCAAGGTGCGTCATTGGGTCTACAGTGGTCTACAGAGGTCTACATTGAGGTCTACATTGCTCGTGACCCTGCTCGCGTTCTTGCTTCTGATTGTGCTTGCGTTGCTTGCGCTTCCTGTTTGTCGTGTTTCTCAAGATCTTTCGGCTCGCAAGCAGCGGCGTCCACATTGTAATGTAGTGCTTGCGTTCGTGCTGTTCGGACATGTATCATACCGAAGTATTTTTAATAGCGGCTGCTAGTTCGATCATTATTATTAATATAAAAAAACACGACAAACAGGAAGCGCAGGCAACGCAAGTACAATCAGAAGCAAGAGCGCGAGCAGGATCACGAGCAATGTGGACGCACCTTGAGTGTATTAACAGTTCATCGTAGGTACATAAGATGTAACTGTCAATATGACATTACGGCAATAGTCACCAAAACCACCTTGTCATATTAAATAATAACATACAAATGTAATGATAATTGAAAAAATTGTAAATTGTTGGTGGCAAGTTCTTTTTGGTCTTAAAGATTAACCAAGGCATGTATTGACATGAATCAAAACACAAAATGCTCCGGAGTCATGGTTCTGACCGAAAAATAATGTTTCAGAAAAATTTATTAACGAAATTATTGCATAGGGTGTTTTAAAGTTAAGGTAAAAACAACCGTTCGATTAACCCAGTATAATAAGCGACATACTAAAGTTTATAATCAACTGAGTTTACGAATTAAAGTTCATATATTTAAATACAGTTTGCTAAAAAAATCATGAAAATAGGGCTAAAAATAAAAAATATATAACACTTTAAAAAAAATTGACCAAAAATTTTCTGTTGCGTTTTTTTGCATCTCATTGTAAATTGATATATTGTATAATGTATTTAAATGCTTATTAAATTGATTTCATATATAAAAACTATTAGCCTGTGAATAATTTGCCGTAGATAATGTCATTGTGTAGTATATTTTTGATATTTGGCTGCATTAAGAAAATCATGCTAAATATGTAATAATTTAAAGTAGCTTATAAAAATATAATATATAAATAATATTTTTACTTCACGGAAGTAAAACGATAACTAATTACTTTTTATATTATGTACAGGAAAAGGACGGGAAGATCCTAAATAGTTTCATCGATGCCATAAACGGATTAGGAGCAGATGGAAAAGACTTCTTAAATACATTGGAAAAGTCGCCTGATATAACTTTATTTGCTCCATGCAACGCAGCCTTGGAAGGATCTCTAGTGAACAATATTGTTGCCCAAAAGCAGAAATTTCTGGATATCCTGAAGTTGCATTTGGTAGTGGACAATCGACTCTATGTGGATACGGTTATAAAGAAAAATCAAATGAAGGTAAGTGTTTTTGTAGATACATAAAAATATATAAAAAAATATTATATAATATAAAAAATAATATTATAGAAAAATATTCGTATTCAAAATTGTTAATACACTGACTGTCACATTTACTCAAATTGTTTTAAACATATAGAAACCATTAATTTTTGTTGAAATAGAAACAGAAAGGAAATAATAATTAAAAATATCTAAATCAGGGAAAGAGATAACAACATACCAGGTTTTTTTGAAAAGTGGTACCCCTATAGTATTTTTAGTTTTTCTCACAAAAAGCGAGATTCGGTGTAATAGTATATTACATTAATCAGGATTAATTGACATATTTATATTTAATTATTTTCGATTATTTCATGCTTTCCGATAGAAAATGAAACTTTTGATTTTTAAATGGTACCCTTGGTATTTTTTTAATTTATTCGAGGGGTAATTATATTTTTAATAGAATGACATATCATATGCCAATTTTTGACATTTACGATTAAAATAAATAATATTTTAAATTTCAATCTAGAGTGCAATAGCTGTGTTTACAACGAAAATTTGACTCGAAATGCTGTGGTACCAAATTATACCTAAAAAATATTTTTTTCAAATATACTAATGAGCCACCCTCATTCCATTTGGAAAAATTGAGATTGAATATGATTAAAAATACGATTTCGACGTGCTTTAACCGGCCACGAAAATTCACGAAAAACATTAGATGATCAAATCTATTTTTCCAATGTGTGTTGATATGGTTAAAAATAGTTGTTTTAATACAGCCAATCACACTATAGATTGAAATTTAAAATACTATTTTTTTAACACAAATAATGTTAAAAGTTGACCTTCAATTTGTAATGCAATTTTTCTTCAAATAAAGTAAAGAAATACCAAAAATGAAAAGTTATAATCATTTCCGGTGAAGCAGGATGTGACGGAAAGTAATTGAATACGTCAATCAATCCTGATTTATTCCATGTACTAACGTAGGTTTGCCAACTTTCATAATGAAAAATAGAGGACGAGAGGGTAAAAAAGAGGCATAGGCAAAACATTTTTTGAAACCTAATGTCTAGAATTTACCAAACAGTTATGTCAGCGGTATGCGATTAGTGGTCGTTCATACTTTCTTAAAAACATATATACTCAAAACTTGTTAAAATAAAACAAGCCATTTTCAACAACACTTTTGTTTCAAAATATAAGTTAACAGCAAGTAAACATAAAATAGTATCGCTTCCACAAATATTTCTTGCACATAAATATTTCTTCGTTTTCTTTTCTGTACAAACGAGTGGGTGTAGCGACAGACACAGATTGACAATTTTTTAAAACATTGTGGCAATAGACGAATCTTTTAGAGTTTGGTATGTAAAAAATAGTGATTTGGTATGTAAGTTATAAAGGTGAGCCACTTTTGAAAAACATCCGGTATTTTTGTATATTTTGTTTAAATGATTTAATACTATTTTATCTCAAAGGTTTCAATAATAAATCGAAAGATTATTAAGATTTTAACACCCAGTAGCTACGAAACAAAGCAGAATCGGACCTATGTTGATACGAAAAATAAGTTTTATTTTTATGTGAGGAATCTCCCCACAAGATATGGCACATGTTTTTTGAAACACCCTGTATAGTACATTTTTATTATGTTATAAAAATTAAATGTATCACACATGTTCTTTCTTTTAACAGTTTTATCGAAATTCGAAAAAATTATAAACCAATGTTAATATGTAATTTGTTTCAAGTTCGGTAATTTTTAAAGGGACACCCTGTATATTTTTTTATTTTATTTGCCTTGTTATGAGCTTTCTACAAATATATTATACTTATTTTCACAAACAAGGTAAAAAATGCATTTTTTTAACTTTTTAACATGAATAAACTTGTTTAAAAGAGCATTATTATTTTATTTTATTTAATCAGATAATTATGCTTTCCACGGTGTTATCTTAATAAACTGCACTGAAAATGAACTTGTGTAATTTTTACATAACACGGCTGTCAATCAGAGTTACAGAAATTGTTGATGCACTTGTGCAATAATTTTACACACAGAAGCGTGGAATAACCAACATCTAAAATTTGAAGTCGAATAAATTATTCGATTTGGTTGATTACGCAATTCAAACAAGCCGCGTATGCGAAAATGTTAAATATAATGCATTTTTTACCTTATTTATAAAAATAAATATAGATTACCTAAATTATATTTTTAGAAATCCCATAGGAAGGCAAATCAAACGAGAAAATAATAAAATACTAAATAGTGAAAACCTCATCTTTGTACTTCTACTCATAAATAAGAAACCCTGTAAAACACACGAAAATGGGACACTCTGTATATACTATAAATATCAAAATGAAAAATACATAAATTTTTTTCTCCTCTATAAGTCAATATATTTAAAACTTCTTTTCATTAACTAATTTTTAGATTTGACTCGACAAATTTTTATTTTGTTTCTTTGATTGTCAAATGTTGTTATGTAGCTTTTTGTAAAAATGAGTGTTATATACTAAAATATGTTTAGTTTTTATTTCAAATTAACTTGTATCAAATTTCCAAAAAAAATCTAAAGATAAATGCTAAATTCAATATAATTTTATAACTAAATAGATGTTTTCTAAAATACAGTTATTGGCAACGCCGCGTCTCGTTCACGAGGGTTTCCGCACGAAATATTAAAGTTTACGTGTGCATTGTTGTCTTTTGGCCGGTTCCAGCCGTCCCATTTACATGGGTTATCTATTGGTAGTAGAATTATCTTTGGTTGAAGGTATCGTTATCAAATTTCATTATAGGAATCTACCTAACAGAGACACTTTAAATGTAAAAAGGAGAGGTTTTAGTTTCAACCAGTGGCGTAGCTGTGATACGCATGGTGTAATTTTTTCAAAAAAAAATAGAACGCCACTGATAAAAATAAAAATTTCGGAGTTGTTTTATTTACTCGGTTTATTTCCAAAAAAAATGTCTCTTGCAACTCTCTCCTATCTAACACCATTTTGTCACAATTTAAAAATAAATAGATTTTTTAATGAGAATCTTAAATACAGCGAATTATTATAACTAGAGAGCAGAAACACATGTGCATCGTTAGCTCCCTTCATATTGGGTAACTTTAGTACTTTTTTCTATTAGCACTAAATAAATTTTTTATAAATTATAAATTTTAACTAGATTTTTTTTTTATTGTTAATAATAAAATTCGTAGTTTTAAGGTAGTTATAATAATTCGCATATTTAAGGTTCTCATTAAAAAAATATTTATTTTTAAATTGTGACAAAATGGTGTTAGATAGAAGAAAGTTGCAAGAGGCATTTTTTCTTGGAAATAAACCGAGTAAATAAAAAAACTCCGAAATTTTTATTTTTATCAGTGGAGTACTATTTTTTTTTGAAAATATTAACCGATGCGTATCACAGCTATGCCACTGGTTGAAACTAAAACCTCTTCTTTTTACATTTAAAGTGTCTCTGTTAGGCTGACTCCTACAATAAAATTTTATAACGATACTTTCAACTGTTAAAAAACTATTAAAGAATATCTTTAATTTTTCAAAAACTTCAACACCCTGTATCTTACCTATTGTTGCCCAAAAGCAGAAATTTCTGGATATCCTGAAGTTGCATTTGGTAGTGGACAATCGACTCTATGTGGATACGGTTATAAAGAAAAATCAAATGAAGGTAAGTGTTTTTGTAGAAAAATATTCGTATTCACAAAAATGTTAATACACTGACTGTCACATTTACTCAAATTGTTTTAAACATATAGAACATATAGAAACCATTAAAAGTTTTTGTTGAAATAGAAACAGAAAGGGAAATAATAATTAAAAATATCTAAATCAGGGAAAGAGATAACAACATGCCAGTGTTTTTTTGAAAAGTGGTACCCCTATACTATTTTTAGTTTTTCAGACAAAAAATTGAGATTCGGTGTAATAGTATATTACATAAATCTGGATTAATTGACATATTTAATTATTTTCGATCGTTTCATGTTTTTCGATTGAAAATGAAACTGTTGATTTTTAAATGGTACTCTTGGTATTTTTTTAATTTATTTGAGGGGAAATTATATTCTTAATCGTATGACATATCATATACCAATTTTTGATATTTACGATTAAAATAAATAATATTTTAAATTTCAATCTAGAGTGCAATAGCTGTGTTTACAACGAAAATTTGACTCGAAATGCTGTGGTACCAAATTATACCTAAAAAATATTTTTTTCAAATATACTAATAAGCCACCCTCATTCCATTCGGAAAAACTGAGATTGAATATGATTAAAAATACGATTTCGACGTGCTTTAACCGGCCACAAAAATTCACGAAAAATATTAGATGATCAAATCTATTTTTCCAATGTGTCTTGATATGGTTAAAAATAGTTGTTTTAATACAGCCAATCGCACTATAGATTGAAATTTAAAATACTATTTTTTTAACACAAATAATGTTAAAAGTTGACCTTCAATTTGTAATGCAATTTTTCTTCAAATAAAGTAAAGAAATGCCAAAAATGAAAAGTTATAATCATTTCCGGTGAAGCAGGATGTGACGGAAAGTAATTGAATACGTCAATCAATCCTGATTTATTCCATGTACTAACATAGGTTTGCCAACTTTCATAATGAAAAATAGAGGACGAGAGGGTAAAAAAGAGGCATAGGCAAAACATTTTTTGAAACCTAATGTCTAGAATTTACCAAACAGTCAGCGGTATGCGATTAGTGGTCGTTCATACTTTCTTAAAAACATATATACTCACAACTTGTTAAAATAAAACAAGCCATTTTCAACAACACTTTTGTTTCAAAATATAAGTTAACAGCAAGTAAACATAAAATAGTATCGCTTCCACAAATATTTCTTGTACATAAATATTTCTTCGTTTTCTTATCTGTACAAACGAGTGGGTGTAGCGTCAGACACAGATTGACAATTTTTTAAAACATTGTGGCAATAGACGAATCTTTTAGAGTTTGGTATGTAAAAAATAGTGATTTGGTATGTAAGTTATAAAGGTGAGCCACTTTTGAAAAACATCCGGTATTTTTGTATATTTTGTTTAAATGATTTAATACTATTTTATCTCAAAGGTTTCAATTTGTATCAATTTATCCAATCTTAACTATTTGTAGTATTTTTTATTTGTGGAACAGGTTTATGATAAATTTCTAATCCCAATATAGGTAACTATATTCTGTGGTTAATACAATATGACTTCCAGCTAGCGTCGTCTCTATAAGTTAAGTTACAGAAACCTTAGCCGTGTTTTTAACTTATACCAATTTGTCCAACGTATACTGAATGTTCGAAAAAAACGACGGCAAAAACGGCTGGGGAATGACAATCGATAATAATTTTGGCGAGGTCAATCTCTAGATGACATTTAAAAAAAATTGACATAAAACATGTCAAAAATTAACGCTACTTTTAAAAATATTAAAAAAGGATAGAACTTTTCCAGTCACAAATTTCCAAAGAATATTTTTTTCGAATTTTAAAAAACCGCACCATTTAAAAATAATTTTACTCCATATAAAAATAAAGTACAATCTTCTTAAATCCAACTGGCAGTAAGCGCCATTAAAAAATAGAGAAAAGTACAGTCCAAGTAAACGACGTTTAGGGACAGTGGCGTAACAACAGACACACGAGCCTGTCTGCAAAAATTTTACCGGGCCCCCTATTACACCTACATATTTCAATACTTATACAAGGTGATTCCTGTAAGTCGGTCATGCTTTCGAGGAATGATAGGGGACGTCGAAATATTAATTTTGATATACCACACTATGGGTCGGAAATGCCTCTTACGCAAGATACAGAGTGTTAAACTTTTTGAAAAATTAAAGATATTCTTTAATAGTTTTTTAACAGTTGAAGGTATCGTTATCAAATTTCATTATAGGAATCTACCTAACAGACACACTTTAAATGTAAAATGAAGAGGTTTTAGTTTCAACCAGTGACGTAGCTGTGATACGCATGGTGTAATTTTTTCAAAAAAAAATAGAACGCCACTGATAAAAATAAAAATTTCGGAGTTGTTTTATTTATTCGGTTTTTTTCCAAGAAAAAATGCCTCTTGCAACTTTCTCCTATCTAACACCATTTTGTCACAATTTAAAAATAAATAGATTTTTTAATGAGAATCTTAAATACAGCGAATTATTATAACTAGAGGGCAGAAGCACATGTGCATCGTTAGCTCCCTTCATATTGGGTAACTTTAGTACTTTTTTCTATTAGCACTAAATAAATTTTTAAAAAATTATAAATTTTAACTCGAATTTTTTTTATTGTTAATAATAAAATTCGTAGTTTTAAGGTAGTTGTAATAATTCGCATATTTAAGGTTCTCTTTAAAAAAATATTTATTTTTAAATTGTGACAAAATGGTGTTAGATAGAAGAAAGTTGCAAGAGACATTTTTTCTTGGAAATAAACCGAAATTTTTATTTTTATCAGTGGCGTACTATTTTTTTGAAAATATTAACCGATGCGTATCACAGCTACGCCACTGGTTGAAACTAAACCCTCTTCTTTTTACATTTAAAGTGTCTCTGTTAGGCAGACTCCTACAATAAAATTTTATAACGATACTTTCAACTGTTAAAAAACTATTAAAGAATATCTTTAATTTTTTAAAAACTTCAACACCCTGTATCTTGCGTAAGAGGCATTTCCGACCCATAGTGTGCTATATCAAAATTAATATTTCGACGTCCCATATCATTCCTCGAAAGCATGACCGACTTACAGGAATCACCCTGTATACTAATCTGAATCATATATGCACTCATATTTTAGGTTAGAAATAACATTATCAAATTAATTTTTATATAGTATTATTTATTACTGCAACACAGAATATGTAACCCAAAACATATAAAATATCAAATAAATAAAAACAAAGGAAAACACAGCTACAAAATTGCACAAGAACAAGTGTAAAGTAATAAGTTATTTTAGCGATAGCATGTGCTAGTTAAGTAGTTAAGAAGATATGTGATAGATAAGAACTTAATTCGGGATCGCCCGATTCTGCTTGATTCGCGATAACATGAGATAGATATGGAAATGCGGCCCGGGCCCCCCGAGGGCACATCGACCCGAGGGCCCCCCGACGGCACATCTGTAGTTACGCCACTGTTTAGGGATCGTATAGTATTTTGCTAACAAAATTAGCATTCTCAATTAATAAGATTTAGTGAATGACCAGTGCAAAAGGGTTTATTGAGAAATGGCAAAGAAAAGTTTAGAATATTTTTTTATATTCGTGATTGAGAGGATACTAGAAATATTTACCTTATACAAATTTTTGATAGGGATTAACATAACATCAATGTTTAGAGTTTTTTGTAGTATAATGTTTTTACAATATTAAAAATATTTTATTGAAATTTTTAAATGAAAAATCAAATTATTTCAACAATATTATTCTCGGCACTTGTATTCGTACATAAAAATTATTAAAATAAAAGCCATATTTTATTCCTCTGGCATAATATAGTAGGCGATATATAAATCGGCGTAGTTTTTGTATGTCATATTTAAATTTTATTAAAATTTATTAAAATATTATGGATATTTTGTGGATGATACTAAAGAGAAAAAGTTTTACAATTTCATCTGTGATTGACGAAAGTTGTTGAAATGGTAGCGCGGAAGTTCCGTCTATCGAGTAGGAACCGCCAACCAAGTTTGCTGGTTCGAGTTCAGCTTCAGACATAGTTCTTTAGTTTGTGTCTTGTCTTTGTGTCTGTCTCATTTTAAACGCTATATACAGGGTAATTCACGGCGATGGCGACGCTTATGAAAAATCGGTAGTAGGATTTTTAAAAATTTGTATTTTTGGATAAAGGCACCTGCTCCTTCTGTCATTATTATTTTCAGTATTACAGTGTTACCGCTTCATACTAAAAGTGGTAGCAACTTTGTTACTTTAAATAGAACACCCAGTATATTATTACAGTTTATAGAAAGTTGACATATTCGACCTGTCTAAATCAACCGATTCTTCCGTCAAACAGGAAGATCAGAAAAATGATTTATTTCCGTTTGTTATAAAATCACTCAAATCATTGTTATTTTAAATTCATGCCTATGCATATTATTTAAAAAATCGAAACATAAATAAAACTGTTTTTCAACGATATATCATGTCCATATACAGGGTGTCCCAGGCTGAGCGTGCATTAGAAGTTTCTAGAGAACTACAACATCTAGCTCGGAGATTTTTTGCACATCATAGTTTCACATCGAGATCTATCGATTAAAAATATTTTTAATATGGCGGCATTTCCGGAAATACCGGAAGTTGACAGCAACTTTCTTGTTTTAAAGGGTATGATTCCCCCATTTTTTATTACATACTTAAATTCTCTGTAAAATTTTATGAATTTTGATATTAAACACTCTATATCTAACATTGACCGTTTTTGAGAAAAAAATATTTAAAATTTTTGAACGAAAAAACTGCCTGTCAAAAATATGTGTATAGCCTAAATGCGGCTATCTATTTCAAAAATTAAATTGTTCGAATGTCATATAATAATGGACGCAGCTGTCATAATTGAGCGATTAAAGAATTATCATAAATCATTTTTTTCAAAAGGAAACCTACTTTTTTTATTTCACTAGTGAAAAGATTTTTCATTTCGTTACT